ATGTAATGTTGTGATAATGCGCTATACAAAAATAAATTTGTTGTTGTTGTTGTTGTTGTTAAACCACATCCGAGAGGCACTCAAAGATCCCCCCTGTTTCCCTCCAATGACTGTCCATCTTGGGTGACCACCCCTTCTTACTAATAGGACAGTATACCCTAAATGGATCCCCGATGTTGAAATCCTGCCTGCGGCTGGCAGCATCGTATACCTCCCTCAGTACCTCTGGCATACGGGGCGGCCCGAAGTTCACCAGGATGACTGCAGTGATCTTCCCTGCTTCTGCCGCCATGCCCTCACCGCTCACTAAGTGACCCGGGAACTCTTTCAGCGCAGCGCACTTCTGGGGGTGGAGGTGCAGGTCAGCATTCCAGACTGCAGTGTAGACAGTGTGCAAGTTACTAAGTGCACCATCAAAATCAGCAGGGTGGGCGAGTAGGTCATCAAGGTGGATTACGCACTCACTGTGGGGGACATGGGCCAGCACTCACTCCAGTAACCCCTCGAAGGTGGCTGGCGCATTGCAGAGCCCAGACGGCATCAACCACAAGTGCCATAGACCATGACCAATAGTGAACTCAGTTTTAGGTCAGGAATCTGGGACCAGTTTGACCAGCCAGTAGCCATTTTGGAGGTCTAAAGAGCTAACTCACGTCGACCCAGCAGTGTCATCCCGTGTATCATTGATCCGGGGCAACGGGTATGAGTCCTTCCGGGTCACAGCATTCAGACTCCAGAAGTCCATGCAAAAGAGCCATGACCCATCCTTCTGGACCAGGACTTGCGGCAGAGTCAAGATTTCTCTGTCCCGCCTCTGCCGACCTGCCAGCTCATTGCTTCCTCTGATGGTTGCTGATTGAAGCCCTGCTCTAGCGTCACCACCAGGGCGGCGCACTTCCACTGCTCATTGGGGGTCAGACTGAGAGGGGCTTGGAGTACCTCCATCTCCAGCACCAGGTGCATTGCGGCTTCCTCTTCGTTCCAGGCATTGTGCCGGGCCGCCAGTCACACATGGGAGAGCTATTGCTCCAGGGGTGTGTGGATGCTTCAGGGTGGTCTTCACCCTGGCCCTCTCTGTCACCAGTACGCACTGCTGCGGAGTCACGACTTGATCTTCTGGGTAGCGAGCTGGGTGGGAAGCACTAGGCCCATCAGGTTACCCCAGGAAGGTGGCAAACTCAGTTCCTGGGGTTTTCCTGGTCAGTCTCTGTCCCTCTCCACCATCATCTGGGACGTTTTGTGTGTAGGGCACGGAGGAGGTCATCCATTTCGTCGACAACCTCGCAGCCCACTTCTGACAACAATGTCACAATTAACCGTTCACTTAGAACAACCGCCAGAGAAGCCCCAACAGAGGCAGAAACTGGGGTAGTCATCAGTATACACATCGAACACCATCGTGGGGGAGTTACAAACACACCACAAGAGGAAAACACGATACTCGGTAATTCACAAGAATACAAAAACACCTACATTCACTCACATAACTACATATCATGGAAATTATTTGCACAAGTGTTTACACTACTTATAGACCGGTGCAATGCATGCTGGTCCACGAGCAATTAAGCCCCGCGGCCTCACAATATTACTGTATAACAGGCATTTAATGGAAGTTGCCTTATCCAGAGAACTGCTGGAAGGGTAATGCTGTCTCCATCTTTCTGGTTCTATCTCTTTCACAAAAGTGATGGTGCAGACCTCCTCTTTGGCCTCCTACTCTTCTGTAAGTCACCCTTGGCCTATACATTGCCACTGGGGAACACATTTACTGCCGCGTGAGACCTGGGGCCATTGCAGAAGGCGATGCCTCTGAGTGACTTTCCTTGGCAAAATATGGCTTTTCCAAGATACGGTCTAGGGAAGCTTAATTGAATTGACTTAATTGAAAGGGTAGTTCAATTTCCTCTGGGCCGCATCTTAGGAACGTAAGCATTGTGATTTATGAAAGCGCTCAGGTGTTCACAACGCCCAGCTGCCCAGGGTGTCTCATGTTATTAAACACTCAGAACGGTCCCCTTTTTTTAATTCACTGTAAAAGAGGAAATTAGCATTCAATGGAGAACGAAAAAGAAGAATATACTGGACAGAACGTGGAGAAGAAGCGAGAGAATGAACTGAAACCTCGTGAGCCATGGTCTGGAATAAAAAAACAACACCACTTTTTTCAGAATCACTTTTAATGTGATACAACGTTACAAACAGAACAGCATTAAAGCAAAATATCTGAATTAAAAAAACAACAATTATAATATATCCAACCACTTTCTAACCATGTATCCTGGTCAGGCCGACATGAAGGGGCGGGATCAGCGCCTACGCCAGGAAGGCAGAGGGCACCCTGGCAGGGAACAACCAAGGATGGGGTGCCAAACCATCGCAGGGCACATTCACACACCAGTCACACACACTCACTTATGGGCAATTTGGTAACTGCAATCAGCTCATCATGTTTGTGGACTGTGGGGGGAACCAGAGCACCCGAATGAAACCCTACAATGACATGTGGAGAACATGCAAACTCCACACACATACAGCCATGCCGAAGACTCAAACCCAGGTCCCAGGGGTGGGAGGCAACAGTGCTAACTGCTGCACCCCCATGCCACCCCTAACTCTTGTTTTCTTGTACCTTATTCTGCAGAAGTGACAGTTCTTCAAAATGCTAAGTCAAGCAGTGCTTCTGGAGCCCTGCCTGCCTGGTCCATCTCTGTTCTCTTTGTTTTCACTGTGTCCAGGAGACAAAGAAAAATGGAAGATCATGGAACAGAAGAGACACAGAAACGCAGGCTTCCCATTTATTAAGTGGCCCACGACGTGACGGGTTCAGGTGGCTGGTCGGCTGAAGCATCCAATGAAAACTAACCAGGGATGACAGGCTGATTTTTGACTTCACTGGCCCCCTGTTGTACACCCATCCACCCAGACCCACTAATCCCGCTCAGCATTTCAGAGGCTGAAAGCCCCTCCCAGAACCCCAGAATAAATGCCTTTACTGTCACTGGAACAAGTTACAAGGAAACTCAAGGCATGTGATTCCCCAGCAATGCTTTAGTCACAAGGCAGGAAATAAAAGGAGTTTAGGCTGTAGTCAGGGGTGGATTAAGGTGTACAGAGGCCCCTAGGCTACAGTAGTATGTGGGCCCCCCATCCCCGCCCCCCTCCGCGCCAATGGGGGCCCCCTTGCAGGCTGGCACACATGGGGCCCCTAGGCTTAAGCCATATCTAGCCTGTGCGTTAATCCGCCCCTGGCTGTAGTTTTATACAGTTTATTAGCTTATTTGTGGGTCATTAAATCGGTTGTACACACAGTACAGCCCAACTGCTACCTGTGGACTACAGTGTTTTTATGTTGAAAATATCACGTAATATGTTATGAACTGATATTGCTAATAATGGCTAACAATTAACCAGGTTAGAACTGGGCCTGTTTCAGAAAGCGGGATTTCTGGCTTAGCTGGATAACTAGTCATATTTCAGGTAGTCTGGGCTGAATGTAAATGAACGAAGATAAAGGCCATTTAACCTGGCGTACCTTAAGCTGTGTTCCATTTGAATTTGGAAAGTCAGGAATTCTGAGTTACTAGTCGGAAATTTCAGCCGGAATGCCCCCAAAGTCGGAATTCCGACTCGGAAAGTCAGGGGAACCTCCTCAATGCTGAC